CAGGTATTTTGGTTACGTAATACGGGCACAAGGTATTTTGTTCACAGTAATACGGGGACAAGTTATTTTGGTTACAGTAATACGGGGACAAGTTATTATGGTCACAATAATACGGGCACAAGGTATTTTGGTTACAGTAATACGTGCACAAGGTATTTTGGTCACAGTAATACGTGCACAAGTTATTATGGTCACAATAATACGGGCACAAGGTATTATGGTCACAGTAATACGGGCACAAGTTATTATGGGCACAGTAATACGTGCACAAGGTATTTTGTTCACAGTAATACGGGGACAAGGTATTACGGTCACAGTAATACGGGCACAAGGTATTTTGGTCACAATAATACGGGCACAAGGTATTATGGTCACAATAATACGGGCACAAGATATTATGGTTACAGTAATACGTTACAAGTTATTTTGGTTACAGTAATACGGGCACAAGTTATTATGGTCACAATAATACGGGCACAAGGTATTATGGTCACAATAATACGGGCACAAGGTATTATGGTCACAGTCATACGGGCACAAGGTATTATGGTCACAGTCATACGGGCATAAGTTATTATGGTCACAGTAATACGGTCACAAGGTATTTTGGTTACAGTAATACGTGCACAAGGTATTTTGTTCACAATAATACGAGCACAAGTTATTATGGTCACAGTAATACGGGCACAAGGTATCATGGTTACAGTAATACGTGCACAAGGTATTTTGTTCACAATAATACGAGCACAAGTTATTATAGTCACAGTAATACGGCACAAGGTATCATGGTTACAGTAATACGTGCACAAGGTATTTTTTTCACTGTAATACGGGCACAAGGTATTATGGTCACAATAATTACGGGCACAAGGTATTATGGTCACAGTAATACGGGCACAAGTTATTATGGTCAGAGTAATACGGGCACAAGGTATTTTGGTCACAGTAATACGGGCACAAGGTATTATGGTCACAATAATACGGGCACAAGGTATTATGGTAACAGTAATACGGGCACAAGGTATTATGGTCACAATAATACGGGCACAAGGTATTATGGTAACAATAATACGGGCACAAGGTATTATGGTCACAGTAATACGGGCACAAGTTATTATGGTCACAGTAATACGGGCACAAGGTATTTTGTTCACAGTAATACGGGCACAAGGTATTATGGTCACAATAATACGGGCACAAGGTATTATGGTCACAGTAATACGGGGACAAGGTATTTTGGGTACAGTAATACGGGCACAGGGTATTCTGGTCACAGTAATACGGACACAAGGTATTCTGGTCACAGTAATACGGGCACAAGGTATTTTGTTCACAGTAATACGGGGAGAAGGTATTATGGTCACAGTAATACGGGCACAAGGTATTTTGGTTACAGTAATACGGGCACAAGGTATTTTGTTCACAGTAATACGGGCACAAGGTATTTTGGTTACAGTAATAGTAAATTGGATTATTCCATGGTTCCCTGCTCGCCCCTTCATCTAATGTTTCAAAAAAACGTCACTTATTAGAAGCACAAGTTATAGCTATGTAAGAGAATTATTATTGATAGATCCTAGAATATTTATTACTTTCAAAGTTTCAATGTGGATCTCACATTGTCATCAGGAATATAATAATACTTCTAGAATATCTATTACTTTCAACGTTTCAATGTGGATCTCACAACGCTATCAGGAATATAATGATACTTCTAGAATATCTATTACTTTCAACGTTTCAATGTGGATCTCACAACGCTATCAGGAATATAATGATACTTCTAGAATATTTATTACTTTCAACGTTTCAATGTGGATCTCACATTGTCATCAGGTTTATAATGATACTTCTAGAATATTTATTACTTTCAACGTTTCAATGTGGATCTCACGTTGTCATCAGGAATATAATGAATTCTGAAATAGCTCTGTACGTCTACATATACACTTGAACAACCCGGATGTGTCCTATAAAAGATGTCATTATAAATCAGAGTGCACGTTATGTAGACAGTTTGGACTAATTTTGGTGTGGGTCCATAGTATGTTTGAACCCTTCACGTTAGGAAATGTGAGGGCTTCTCATAGGTCCGCGCTCGCACCATTCATACAATGGTAATACCATTTATCATTGCTTGATAAAGACGAAAGCATCATCGTTGAAACGTCGCAAGTTATTTATTGAAGTAATTGTTATTCATATAATTGTGTCCATTTATTAATAATGATAATACTATTGTAGTGGGTCAAATAACGAGCTTTCACCTTGCCTAATTTTCAAAATATACATTTAGATATATTATATAAAGATATAGTTCTCTTCAATTTGGCGCATATTTAACTTAGTTGTAACCACTTTAACCAATTAACAGCAAGATACTATTGGTTAAATCTTTCAGATAAAGTAAGGGATATGTTTCTCCAGATCTTCATCTAAAATTGTCTAATCTTCTTAGAAAATCAGACAGTCTCTTTAACTTTGTGTTGTTTTCATTACAAATACATTGGGCATGTGCCTCCTGACTGAATATCTGTAGCACGATGTCCGATTTTACTTGTCTCGGAGCACTGGAAGAAGCGTTTCGGGCTTCTATTTCCGTGAAATTACCCGAAGACCAAGTCTGAAGTACGCTTAAATATAGTATGCAGGTAAAATAGCGATTAGTCACCAAAAAATCACGATATTTCATCAGAAAATGTCTTGTCTCAGATAGCTCAGACCCCCCATCAGTGGAACCCAATTTCAATTCATAACATCAATTTTCAAGAGGTTTTTTATTTAAATC